GCGCTGGATGGCAGTTCCCTGTCGGACGTATCCATCGTTTGCTACGAAAAGGCAACTACGCCGAAAGGGTTGGTGCTGGCGCTCCGGTCTACCTGGCTGCCGTCGTCGAGTACCTGACCGCCGAAGTGCTCGAGTTGGCCGGCAACGCTGCCCGCGACAACAAGAAGTCCAGAATCATCCCACGTCACCTGCAGTTGGCGATCCGCAACGATGAAGAGTTGAACAAACTTCTATCCGGAGTGACAATCAGTCAAGGAGGTGTCCTGCCTAACATTCAAGCTGTCCTCTTGCCAAAAAAGTCTGCAAAGGCCCACTAAGAAGTTTGCCGTTAGGAACCAAGCTGTAGGCCGTACCAGTAAAACCACCGGCCCTTTTCAGGGCCACCATTTCTTCCCAGAAATGATCTCTACGTTGCATACGTTTTGACCGATGACTTGCTACAGTAAATTATAATCGGCGACCCTAGCCTAGGCTATAATACTATAGTGACAAGTTTTAGAACATTTTGGAAAAACATTTGAAATATAACCACAAGATACTAGGTTACTGCGACTATAGACTGTGTCCCCGCACCGAAAACCGACCGATCAGTCAAAAAGTGTATCGTCGATAGTGTAACATCGATAAATAGCATTTTAGTTGCAGCTAAAAGCACGACAGGACATGAATTCTGAAATGACAATGAATTGTTGACATAATTATACTGTCATATAGGATCGATGAATATTACTAAATGTAAAAAGTAACATGTAATCGGAGGTGAGCGCCGAAAGAGTGAGCATAACATATCAGGACACATAAAACGGTATTGCTAGGGTTAGAATACCAGACATACCGTCTTCCGCTCTCTCTCTTTCTCTCGCTCTCTCTCTTTCTCTCGCTCTCTCTCTCTCTTTCTCTCGCTCTCTCTCTCTCTATTGGTTTGTCAACAGGTATTGACGTTAGTCACACAGCCTGGTCGGGTTACAGGACACAATGTGAGATGAAACAGAATAAAATTGTAAAACCTTTTATTAAAACATTTAGAGCATTAACAGATTAACATAAAACAATTATGTTAATATTTTGATACAATTTGGATATGATGGATATTTTTTGAATGAAAACAGGCGATAAATTAACATAACATTCTCACACAAATTTGATAAAATATTGGCACAAGTATAATTGTTGTAATCTGATATTAATGCATAAATAATAAATATAACAGAGAAATAATTAACAAACACATTTTAGAACAATTAGGATAAGATCTGTTTAAAAATAAACATGATAGGAATGCGGCAATAGCAAAACATAATATCACATAAGAAATAAAATGTTATGATAGTTACAATCAAATATTGCGCAATTAGGATAAATCATTATCAGACGTAAAATTAAAGTCGTGTTTTTGGCTGGGTCTCTCTCTCCCCTTCTCAACCACCTCGCCATCTTTCTTTCTCGTGCTCGCGCTCTCTTTCCCTCTCTCTGTTGCTCTCTTTCGTGTCATCTCTTCACTATCTCCTTCCCACCGTCTTGCTCTCTCATTTTCTTACGATCTCGTCTCTTTGCTCTCGTCAGCTTTCTCTCTGCTCTCTCTCTCCTCTCTCTTTCTTTCATTGTCCCTATCTCTTGTCGCTCTCGTTGTCTTTCTCTCTCTCTCTCTCTCTGTCTTCTTGCTTTCACCTGATTTCTTCTCCTCTTCGTGCCCTGTCTTTCTCTCTTATCTCCTCTCTCCGTCCTCCCCTGTCTGTCTATTTGCACGCACTCTTCTCTCTCTCTCACACACGTATTGCTCTCTCTCTGCTTTTTCCCTTACTCCCCGCGCACCTCTCTCGTCTCTCTCTGGTCTCTCGTCGCCTCGTCTCTCTCCTCTCTCTCTCTCTCTTCTCTCTCTCTCTTCTCTCTCTCGGCGCCGCTCTCTTCTCTCTCTTGTGCTCTGCGTGGCGCCTCTCGGGGTCGTCGTGCGTGCTGTGTGCTGTCGTCGGCGGTGCTCTTCGCGTCTCTCGTCTCTCTCGTTTTCTCTCTTTGCTCTCTCTCCTCTCTCTCTCTCTCTTTTCTTTCTATCTCTCATTCTCTCTCTTCTCTCTCCCTCTCTCCGTCTCTGCTCGTCTCGTCGCTTTGCGGGCCCGCTCGTCTCTCTCTGCGCGTCTCTCTTTGTCTCTCGTCGTCTCTCGTCTCTCTCTCTCGGTTCTCTTCTCGATTCTGGCTTTTCTCTGCGTCTGCTCTCGTCGGCTTCGTCGGAGTTCTCGCGTCATCTTCGTCGCTCTCTCTCTTTCTTTCACTCTCTCTCATCTCTTTCGCTCTCCCCCCCCCTCTTTCTCGCTCTTTCTTCTCTCTCTTCTCCTCTCTCTCGTCTCTCTCTCTCTCTTCTCTCTCTCTCCTCTGCGCGCTGCGGCTCGTCTCTTTCTCTCGCTCTCTCTCTCTCTCTTTCTCTCGCGCTCTCTCTCTCGCCTTTCTCTTCTCTCTCAGCTCTCTCTCTCCCCCTCTCTCTCTCTCTCGTTTCTTTTCTCTCTCTCTCTCTCTCTCTCTCTCTCTCGCTCTCTCTTTCTCCTCTCTCCGTCCGGTCTTTCTTCTCGTCGTCGGTCCCTCTTCTCTCATCTCCTCCTCTCGCTCTGCTCTCGCGCTCTCTCTCTGCTCGTCTGTCTCTCTCTCTCTCTCTCTCCATCGTTATGGCGCGCGCGCTCTCTCTCTCTCTCTCTCTCTCTGCTCTCGCTCTTTTATTTCACTCTCTCTCCCGCTTGCGCTCTCTCTCTCCTCTCTCGTCTCGTCTGCTCGTCTCGTTTCTCTCTGCTCTCGCCGCGGCGCGCTCTGCGCGTCTCTCTCTGCTCGTCTCTCTTCTGCTTCTCTCTCTCTTTCTCTCTTCTCATATCTATCTCTCGGCTCTCTCTCTCTTCTCTCTCTCTCTCTCTCTCTCACGACTCTCTCGCGCTTCTCTCTCTTGCTCTCTGGCTCTCTCTCTCGTTCTCTCTTGCTCTTCTCGTCTCTCTCGGTCGCTCGTCGTCTTTCTCCCCCGCTCTCTGCTCTCTCTCTTCATCTCGCTCTCTCTCGCTCTCTCTTGCGCTCTCTCTCTCTCGCGCTCTCTCTCTCCCCCCCTCTCTCTCTCTCTTTCTCTTTTGCTATCTTGCTCTCTCTCACGCGCTATCTCCATTTCTATTTATCTTATGCGTAAGAGTAGCGAGGATTTTGTGCGCTTATCAATGCTGCCATTTATCGTCGAAATAAATCGGGACGATTTATCGTTGGAATTTATCGTTTTGATTTATAGTTGAGATTTATCGTTATTATCTTGCGTTCACTGCGTTTAACTTAGTATAAAGACGTGGTCCTTCATGAACTGCCGTCCATAAGCCGCACACTTCTTCAGCTTCTCACAGAATTCTCGCTCGTCATACGATTGTATACAACCTCAGTACACACACAAATCCTGCACGCACCTTCCTAGAAGCCCAGCCGACACACTTTATTAAACACTTTTTTTATTTACTCCTGTTGGAATGCACGCCATTTTTGTTTTAATTTTATCTCACGTCGTAGCAAAATAGGTGCTACCCTTGTCGCTTGATTTGACTCAAGCATTTGACTCCTATCCCCGCTAGAAATGATGAGGCGCAACAGGCCGTAATTCAAGTTATAACTATCATTATAATTCCGATTTGTTTCCGGCGCTTCATACGTAACAAAGTGAAATTGACAGCGCACAGATAATTATAAATTCTGTTGACTCGGCCATTTAATTACCGTTTATTTAGAAGATTTGCTGTATCTAAGCAAGTGCGATTCTAATGTTATGAAAGTGTCAAACTTATGTGTCAAACACGACTACGCGGCTTCTTGGTGTACTGTTTTTGCGGAATCTTACTCCTGCAATAGATGGCGCAGGAGATTTAAAGCGAAATATGTAGCCATGGAATGTAAAGCTGAAGCCTTCAACTTTACGCTCTCTGACGTAGCGGAGAAAGTTACGATTTTCCACCAAAGCGTGGCGCCTCTGTGTCCCATCAGTAGGGATTTACGACGCGAAGGGGGAATGTGTGTAAGGATGGCTTATTACATTATAACATAATAAATTATACTAATATTATATATAATAAAGCTAGGCCATGTCATTTAACGCTATATATGATCATATTCAAATGTAATTATAAATTAAATGTATAGCCTAGGCTAAAGCAAGGCACAGTCATGTAATCAGTAATTAGGAAAAAATATTATAGTATTGTTCATGGCTTCACGCTGCAGCATTGGAGTATGGTGAACGTCTTTGCAAGGATCATCTCAACAGGAACAGGTCCTTTAGAAGTAATTGGCGAACTGCTCCCAGCGCTTCATGCGTAACAGAGTGAATCCGCGGCAGAGTGCATATCTTCCCATTTACCAACGTTTAATAAAAGAGCAATGACTCAAGTCACTTAGTCCAGCAAGCACTTTTCGTGAAATTTACAGTGCACAAAACGCCTGCTAGGATTACATCTTTATAGATTGAGATATATATATATATATATATATATATATATATATATATATATATATATATATATATATATATATATATATATATANAACCATAACCAGAACAAAAACCTTAACTCTAATCATCTCATGGTGACCAATGTGATCGTCTTCTTAAAAAATTATACTCCAGTCGCGACTCCTATGCTCCAAGAGTTTTTAGCTCATCAATGTATGGCTTCAACACTTAAACATTATTATCATTCCAAATATACATATACGCGGATGTAGTTACCCTTGCCCCGCCAGCTCTTTCCTTGTAAGCGGATGTGTGGCTGCCATCCCATATAGCAAAAGAAGCTACATCCGGTTACAAGAAAAGAGCTGGTGGGGCAAGAGGAACTACACTAGCGTATATGTATATTTGGGATGATAATAATGTTTAAGTGTTGAAGCCAAATTGTAATTGATGAGCTAAAATCTCATGGAGCATAGGAGTCGCGACTGGAGTATAATTTTCTAAGAAGACGATCACATTGGTCACCATGAGATGATTAGAGTTAAGGTTTTTGTTCTGGTTATGGTTAGCGTTAGAAGTAAGGTACTCGATCATAATCCTAGGTATAACATTACCTTCCCACTTGAAAGCAAACTGACGATTCTCGGCTTTTCAGCGGATTCTGTACAATCATAGATAATGGGCGCACACACATTTTTAGACCTAATGTTATGTGTAGTGTACGTTGTGTGCATTGTGCAGTATGTGTTATATACAGACGATTGTGTAAGGAACAAATAGACATGCATGTGCGATTGGAAATGTGTTGACCGCTTGGTCTAGACCAGTGGTTCCCAACCCTTTGGACTCCCCGTACCCTTAATTTTTTTACACTATCTCCTGGTACTCCTTCGCCCACCATAAGCAAAATGAAGAACCAACACTGATGTATTGACATGAATATTTTGACGTCATGTTTATGTTTTATTAATGCAGTCGCACGACGAATTTTTCCAATCAAGCCGATGTCGATAGAGATGCCTGAATCACCCGTTGTTTATTATATAGCACAACTTTTTTTAAATTGTCTAAGAGGCTTCCCAGGTACCCCCTGTGGTGTTCACTGGTACCCCCATGGGGTACTAGTACCCCCGGTTGGGAACCAGGGGTCTAGACATTGGTATGGTTTCCGACCTGTAACGAGAAAGCGGAGATCATTATACTAAGTACAGACGCACGGTACATAGGACACACGGTCTTCCTACTGTGAGTAGATAATGATAATAATATAAACCTTCTCAACCAGAGAAGCACATTTTCAAGAAATACAGTTCTTTTAGCCATATTATTCTAGCTGGTCCATTCGAAAAATGACGGATAGGATTGATTCCCTCTAAATAGATTTTCGGGTGATGTCGTGTTTGTAGGTAGTTGGATCGTTTTATGGATCATTTTTCCAGCATAAAAAATCAACTAATTTTATTTAGCAGGCAGCCGAATGGATATTTCTTTTTAGACAAATTGCTCGATTTATAATGAAGGGATATTGCTAACGGAAACCATTCCACGATTTGCTAATTTCGTAGTTTCGTGAATAAAGTTCAAACACGTGAAATATCTTTCAATCGCTCGTTTAATGGGGGAACATTCCGTCTACTACTTCTCATAAAAGCACTATTCATTTGTTAGAGCCATATAGTTTGATGGATAGACACAATGTGGTAACGGACTTTTCCAAAACCTTTGAATAATGCATGCGACGTGAATCACCATAGTTGACACAAGATTTCAGAATCGTGTATTCTCCTGGGTCCTCTGTATTACTGGGACAGATCACCCACAGCTAGACGCATCTGCAAAGGTTTTAAGCTTTTTTTTCAATTCGCGTGGATGGTTTTATTCTGCTGTATTAATCCGCATGATTCTACCGGACATTCGTAAGTCTAAATCCTTGAATGACATTAGACGATCATCGTACTGGATTAGGATCGGTCTTGCAACGAGATTGCCTCGAGTTCCGCGAGTATACGTCATGATGGTGAGTGAGAGAAGAACTGGGGAAATGAGTAACGGTGCATGAGTAGTGTCGGAGGATGAGCCGTTGAGAGTCTAGTTTCGATTTTATTCCCTAAAAGGATTGGAGGCTCAGTATTTTCAGCCTAAATAAAACCACAAGTACTAGTACTTCGGGCTTTTGTGAAGTTACGAACCATAACAAAATATTGTTGAAATTTGCTTGACATAAACATAAACGGATTTACTATAAAGCGATATAAACGTAGGAGCGATGTACTGGTTGCATGCATAATACATCAATCTTTCAGTAAACACATTGCAAGGATTATATCTTTCTCGATCTTATCGCGCGCTCTCTCTCTCTCTCTCTCTCTCTCTCTCTACTCTTCTCTCTCTTTCTTCTCTCATCTCTCGCTCTTCTCTCTTCTCCTCTCAGCTCTCCTCTCTTTCTCTTCTCTATCTATAAATCTATCATAATTATATATCTAATCTATCAATCTATCTTAACTCTATTCTATACTACTCTAACTCTAATATATCTAATCTACTCTATCTAATCTACTCTTCTATCTATCTATCTAATCATCTATCTACTCTTCTATCTGATTCTATCTATCGTATCATCTACTATCTATCTATCTATATATCTATCTATACTATCTATTCTATCTATCTAGTCAACTCTATCTAATCCTATCTATCTATCTATCTATAACTACTCTATCTCACTATCTATCATATCATATCATCTACTATCATACTCTCTCACTTTCCTCAATCTCTTCGTCTGTTCTCTTTGCTCTGTCTCGTTTAGTGCCGTGAGTGCCACACCGTGCGCGCGACACGCGGCGATCTGTGTGTAGGTTCGCGCGCGCCGCCGCGGCGGTGTATGTGCTGTGCGCGTGTCGAGTCTGTGTGTGTGTGGATGTGTGGTGTGCTGTTGATGTGTTGTGGTTCGTGCGTGTGTGCCCCGTGGCTGTGTGTGGATGTTGTTGTGTTGCTGTGTGTCATAGTGGTGTGTTCGTAGTGTGTGCCTGTGTTGTCGGTGCAGTGCCGTGCGTAGGGGGTGAGTGACTGTGCGTGACGACGGCTGTGATGTCGTACGTGTGTGCCCCTGTGACGGTGGTGTGTGTCGTGTGTGGGCCTGCTGGTGGTGTGTGTGTGTGTGTGTGCGTGTACATGACCGTGCACGTGCGTGTATTATGAGACTATTTAAAATGATTTTTTCAAATTTCTTAAATTCGTTAGTTTCGCAAAAACTACATATATACACTTGACGCGATTTTGACACGTTAAACCTAAATTACATTGTCGCTTTACAGTTAAATTCGGGCTCTGCATCATTCATCTTTTGCTTGCTTTTCCATAATATTATCTTCTAAAATCAGCGCATCGCATGAGATGATCAGCACCGCCGTGGTCTAACCGACCACTTCTTCGTCCTCCAATACATTATCTCCTAAACCCATAGAGGCGTGCTGCCTGGCCACGCACGCAGACGCGCAGCGCACAGGCCTATAAAGTAGCGTACTAACTAGGATGCAGCAGCAGCAGCAGCACACACCAACAGCCGCAGCAGTAGCAGTAGCAGTAGCAGCAGCAGCAGCAGCACACACCAACCAGCCAACACACGCCATACGCCTACACCACTCCGACCGTAGCCATCGATGCAATACGACGACGGCCCGCCCGCCCGTACGCACACACGCCACCGTCGAGTTGTCTCCAGAGACCGAGCGCTTGACTGACTAGTCGCTGGCTGCCAGCGCTGACGGCTAGACTGTCGATTTTTACGCGCATTATAATCGCCATTCGGTGATTTGATTTCGCACAACCTCGACGCGCCGCGCGAAATTAGGTCGTACGGCCGATAGGTGGCGCTTGCCCGGTGAAAACTCGGTCGCTTCCATATTCGCTCTTCGCACGCGCAGATCTCGCGTCTGCAAAGCGCAGTCATACTCCGGAATCGCACACCTTGCCTACGGTACGAACACTCACTGACTCGACTACGCAAGGAGCAGCGGCAGCGTCTTTCTCGTGTATATATATATATATAGTCATCTGTAATTCGCGAGAGAGTACAAGATGCGGTCACCGAGCACGTGGGAACTGGTGTGCATGTGCGCGGCGCTGTTGATCGGACTGACAGCGTGCAACCCGGCGCTGTCGACGCACGACGCCGACGGTGACGACGTTGACGATGAGGAGGTGCAGGTGATAGACCTGGACGAGTTGAGCGCAGCTGAGCTGCAGGGTCTGGCTCAGTTCTTCGGCGATGACTCGCACCCGATCGCGCCCATACGGCAACTCCAGCGACTGCTGAACGGTAATGGTTGAAGCCTCCGCTCATTGAAACAGGAGTGACGAGGATGATTCAACGAACGCACGCACGTACGCACGCACATCCTATATATATATAGTGCGTGCGTGCGTGCGCGTGTGTGCGTGTGCGTGTGTGTGTATGTGTCGGTGCGTGAATGCTTGCTTGCTTGCGTGCGCGTGAGCGTGCGTAGGTCTGTGCGTGCGTATGTGCGTTGCATGTGTGCGTGTGTGTGTGCGTGCGGGCGAGCGTGCGCGTATAGCCTATAGGTATAAATATTGGTGCTGGGATATGGCGGCTTGACGGCTGGGAAGTAAGATGATGATAAGGAGTATAATGACTCATTCTTGGTATTTACTGATTAGCTTGCATGAAATGTCTAACGTTGAAAGTATCTGGTATACTGTATTCACATTGCAGTAACTGTAGTAGTAATAATAATAATGGTGTGCATATATATATAAATATATATATATATAGATATAGATATTATACATAATATGTGTGTGAGCGGTGTGGGTGCGCGTTTTCGTATACGTGTGTGTGGATGTACGCGTGCGTGTGCGGGCGCGTTTGCGCGTGTGTGCGCGTCTGTAATAAAAACTAATAACGGTGTAGCCTAATTTAAAGCGTAACTCGCTCTTTCCGATCAGGCTCCTAGAGCTCAATTCTGACTCCTTCTGCACACACACACTGGCAATGTTAACACTAGTAGGCGATAAAACTGAGCGCTAACATCATTCGCTCGTTACACCATGTATTCAGACTAGATAACCACCGTGGTCGCTTGCTAAGCGCTGGCGAAATTGGTGCCTTGAATTCTCTGCATCCTCGCGCGAATAGCCGTTGGCACTCCGACATCCTTCGATCATTACACTGCACTCCCAGCTGAAACGTAACTATTTCGAACAGCTCCGAATGACATACGGTTTAACCATTGTTTGCTAAATCGTGTTATTGATAATATCATTATTCAGTCGTGCATTTCTCCCGCCACGGCACCGTGTGGAACCGGGTAAATGCTGCCGGCAACGCATATATGCCGGTCGCAAATTTACAGTTCGGATGTTGTCAGAGAGTACGGCGCTGGGCTCTCGCCGGCGGATATTTCTCGGCGCTGAGATGTGAGAATTTCAAGTGGCTTCCCGCGAAGCAGAATTTTCTAGAGTGTTTTTGAAGGCGTCTAGTTCGCCTTTCTTGGATATTATTGCTTCGCTTTTAGCGGCGCCTGTATTGACATACACACACGTCGTGAAAGAGACTCATTCTGCCTGGAAAACCGTTTGATGGCAAGAACATGGATTCTATTTACTCCGCACGAGAACATGTTTGATTAACTTATGCCGTGTCATTTTTAAACGTGTATATATATATATATATATATATATATATATATATATATATATATATATATATATATATACCATGGAAAAACGTTATGGTACGTACTACTATTAGTCATAACATTACATGCGTTAAACATTAAACGTTTGCATTACACTGTTATAGTAAAAGTTTGCAGAATATAAACAAATCATTCTGTTTGATAAACTTATGCTGTGTAATTTTTGTAAGTATTTATACTATCTAAATTCATCATGACACATAGGCCTAATACTATAAGTCATAAACTCTCTAATTGAGACCTGTAAAATTTATTGATTTTTTGTCAATTTCTGTATATGGCTCAAACCAGGACAATTTTCTGCTTAATGTAATAATAATTGGTTTCACGGCAATACGAACTTTGCAGACGAGTAAACACAGAGCTCACGTAGAGCCCGCGTCCGGGGTGTATACACGCGCATGCGCCACGTAAACTAATTACTAATAATTAGCGTCAGTCATAAATAGCAATAACAATAACGATAATCATAATCATAATAATAATAATATTATTATTATTATTATCGTTATTGTTATTGCTATTATTAAAGACAGTGGCAATAATAATATCACTCTTTCCTTGTTCTTAAATGAATAGAAATCGCGCGCGTTGTATGTTCGGTAGGAGAATGCCAGCCGCACAGGACGAATATGCCGAGGGGCAGATATTAGATGATGATCCACGAGGCGATGTGATTAGGGGGATTGCGAATCATGTGCTCACAGCGTAAGAACAAATTTGAGTTTATCCTACAATATATAGATCTATGATTAAGCTAACTTCTAATTTCTTTTTATTTGTCCATCATCTTTTTATTATACTTTATTTTAAATTTTTATAACACTTTTGGCCCGTCACATATACAATCGCCAAAGCTATCGTCTTTGGGTACTGTGGAAAGTTTGCATGAGCAGCAGAAAATAACTATGACGCTCTTTTATGCTTCCCAAACAACGATCTATGAATCATATTTTGCCCATTTGGATCATAGCGACATGATAACTGTAGTAAAAGGGAAAGATAGTGAAACCTCAATCAAGCAGCAGCACTACGCGATGAGACGTATCTAGTCGTGAGTGTATATATACTGACACGGCTATAACTGATGGCCATCTATCAGACTGTCTGACAGCAGCAATGTATTATTTATTGTCGTTATTATATATACACGATTCTAAACGAGGACGCCTGGTCACACGAAGGTCATGCGCGCGCACGCGTAGGATGTGCTGTGTGTGTGTGTGTGACTGTGTGTGTGTGTGTGTGTGTGTGTGTGCGCCTGCGTGCGTGCGTGCGTACGTGTGTGTGTGCGTGCGTGCGTGTGTGCGTGCGTGCGTGCGTTCCTGCTTGCCTATGCGCGCCTGCCTGAGTGCGCCAGCGTGTGTTCGTGTTATATAGGCGTGTGTGCGCGCGCACATAGGCGCGCAAGTGTATGCCTGTGCCTGGGGTGATTTACTCAAGACTGAATGAAATGATGAAGTCAATCAATCAGTAGAAAACACAGCTCGCTGACGGTTGCTGTAGTTTTAAATTTCTCTACGCCGAGAACAAACCCTAGGGAATAAATACTCCTAAAGTAATCAATTTTAACGATCTAAGTTAATAACTACCGTGCAAAGGGGATATAGTGTAGCCACATCTTATCACGTACCAAATATTGTGAGAACGCATAACGAGAAAACTGTGTATATTATTATGATTACGAATATAATCACTTTTATTAATCAACTTAGTTCTAAAAAACCGGGAATGTAAAGAGAATCTGTAATTATAACCACCTGTATGCGAATTCCCGAGATTCATGGCCACGCGAGCGGAACGCTGGCAATGTATTCCAAAAAATTGCATGCTCTCTTACCTCGGTCGAGCCGCTAATATAACTATAGAGGTTTTGAACGCCATGTTTTTAAACTCATCTTCCTACACTTGGTGGTTTTACTCACTGGCAGCAAGAACCACTCCGCTGCAGCTACAGCACACACACGGCCTTTGTCTATATATGTTATATATATATAGATGTTAGATAATATATAGATATCTATAGATTAGATAATATATAGATAATATATATAGATGTTATATATATACAAAGGCCGTGTGTGTGCTGTAGCTGCAGCGGAGTGGTTCTTGCTGCCAGTGGTTTTACTTCGTGAAGGCGTACTACATGACTGAATGCTCATTACTAATAGGGAGGAAATTACTGTTTACACAATGGCACGGTCTATCCTTAGATAAATAGTATAATAGTGAAGCGAACGATGTAGTAAACAATTTTCAGAGATCTAAACAGTTAATTATAGAGCAACATGCGAGAGTGTTGCGCAAGTATTGCTTTGATATGCGTGATGTTTGAAATTAGGTCGAAATATAACAATAAAATATGCTCACAATCATGTAATTTTATCGTCAGTACCCGCCGCAACATTTTTCATATAAAAAGAAAGCGCGAGCGCTATCTGGCGGTTACTTTGATGAAATCTATTTTTTACCATGTAAAACCATCGGCCACGAGATTTGTGTTCTCTCCTGGGAGCCGTTCGCTCTTTCTGATCGTGCTTTCTATGACAGGCCGCCTGTCGTCAGCTTTACCTACCGAGCTTTTTATTGATAACGTTGCCCGATAGATCGCCGATGCGAAGGATAGATGCCAGGGAAATGAAGTCGTATCGGTGATGAATCTTGGCTATGTGACTTTGTGAACAACTCTGCATCCATTTATCTTATCAATAATAGCGAGCACGACACCACTGAGTTGCATATATTAATAATAATAATAATAATAATAATAATAATAATATTAATAATAATAATGCGCAAAATTCTGGATTAAATCCCTATATGTCCCAGGTTGGGACACGGCTAACCCAGAAGCCACCGGCTAATGCCGTGATCCACTTTGGAAATAATAATAATAAAAAATAAATAAATAAAATAATGATAATTAAAATAATAATAATAATAATAATAATAATTAAAATAATAATAATTATTATTATATACAGCTCAATGGTCGGCACCGTTTATATCAGGATACATCGAGGCGGGCATGATGTGTCGGCGGTGGCTGTAGCGTCTATATAGCTCTGAGAAGAATTTTCCGTTTCGAGCTCGCGTCGTTGGTATCAAATGCCGTCTTGCGCTACGCCCGCATGATAACCCGAAGCGCTGCTCGACGAAAATCGTTTAACATCTTAAGGGGACTTCAGAGGCATCGGTTCCGAACGCCAGTGTCGCATTCCGACAAGCGCGGATAACGCAATTGTATACATTGTGATGGAAAGTTCCAACGAGGACCTCGGTGGACCGATAGTATTCATGAGGGGCCTTTATTTAGCAGCATTTCCATTTAAAATTTATCCGACCAAAGGCTGCACGGCACCAGAGATTCCGCGGGCCAATAGCCGCTATTTCAGCTATGAATTTTTTAAGAGAAATGTGTATTTTCCTTTTCGTTATATTGCGCGCCGCTGCTTTTGGCAGATGGACATGCATAATTGATTGTGCTTAAATCTTTTGATTCGACTTTCATTGATTTAAGTTTGTAAGAGAACAGCCACGGAATTACAATGTCTTTAAAGTATGAAATCATCAGACGGGAAGAGAAATTTATAATTAATAT